TCATTAGGTTGGACCCTAATTCAGTATGGCTGCTGTCCTTATAAGAAATGGAAATTTGGACAGATATGTGTAGAGCGGAGGCCATGTGAACACACAAAGAGAAGATGGCCATCTATAAGCCAGGGAAAGAGGCCTCAGAAGAAACCAATCCTGACACCCCTATCTCAGACTTCTAGCATCCTAGCTTTGGGAAAATAAATAAATTTCTGTTGTTTAAGCCACCTAGTCTGTAGTATTTGATTATGGTGGCTCTAGCAAACGAATACAGGAACACACAGGGCACTATGCTAGGTATGAACGAGGTATCATCTTTGCCTTCAGAGAGCTCCCAGCCTGCCAGGTACAAAGACTGGTAAGTGTTGGGGAAACTATAAAACTACGATGATGAATGAAATAGTTAGTTTCATGAAATCTTAACATTCTATAAAACCAAAGCCCTTGCCTCCATTGGTTTAAGTATAGGGGCTACAATTGGCATGTGCCCCCATTTTAAGTGAAATTTATGTCAGCTATAGGGAAATAAACCTAAAGAGGTATGGGAGGTGTTTTGTTTTTTAATTCATGTGGCATCATATAGGTATAAAAGTCTTCAGAGCATTTTTGCTGCTTTAAGCTCATCAGAAAACTCATTTTCACTGTAAAATCCTATCTTCATGGCAGATCCATTTATTCCCATCTCACACCGCTTCAGCTGATCTCTAGAGTAGCAGAAGGTGCAGCAGTGACAGCTGGCAGCCTGGCTCACTTAGATTCTGTTAGTGCAACTGCTGTTTGTATGGAGTTGCTAACTTAGGGAACAAATCATGACTTGAACCAAGGTGGAGGACATGGTGTGGAGCAGGGCCCTGTGACTTTGGAGTAGAACAGTCACATTTTAACAAACAGCACAAACAAACCAACAAAAATGCGGAATTTTGAGAGCTCTAAGGAACTGTGGATATTGTGCAGTCAAAGACCTCATTTTGTATATCTGGAACCAGATACACAGCTTAAATGATAAGTGACTTGCCTAAGGTCAAAAAACTAGCTATTAGCAGAAATGTCTTGTCTCTTGCTCTAAGTACAGCTGTTTTTTGCCACTGTAGGTTTGGATGTGGGAAATTAGTATTCCAGAGCTAATTCCCTCAGACACACCGTGTCTGTAATTCAGGTGTGTCATTGCAGAATATAGAGTACTGTCTATTTCTTGGTGTTGGTCTGAGCAGCTAGACTTCCTATAGGTGTGGGATACTGAGTCAAGCAAGTGTAGCCCATTTCCACTCAAAAATAGAGCTGTTTAATAATATAACAAATGTGGAAGTAATGGGAGGAAGAAACGAATACTTATTAGGTACCAATTGTGTGGCATGTGCTGTGCTGGCCCCTCACAGCAACTTATAGGTGAGGAAACTGATGGTTGAAGAGATTCCATCTCTTATCCAAGATCTGACATCATCAACTGACAGTTCTAGGATTTGTTCTATTCCAGAACCTGAAATTTTTCCACGAATCTACACTTCCTCCCTCAGCATAATTAGTAAGTGTTACTTATAAGCCTAAACTAAGTTTGTATGAAGATGTAAAGACATACAAACACAGAGTGATATCTTATTTGCTAACCTTTAACTTCGCCACTCAGTCACTGTTCATGTAGCACTGGTTCTATCTCCAGGGTAAATTAGAAAACAATTGATGCTCATTTCAAACTCTTTTGGCCAGGAATTTGCCCAGAGTTCTAAACCTTGGACAGATTTACATCAAGACTTGTTGGAGTCAGCTTTCACTTACCCTAATAAGGAAGGAGATTCACCATCTCCATGGGTCCTCTCCTCTTGCTTATCAGGTCTGGCTTCATTTACAGCTGAAGTGTGGTTCTCTTTTATGAAGATTATTTTTTATTCCAGAAAAGACCTTGGGTACCATGTCTTGTACTCGTGCTCAGAAATCTGAGTGCTTAGGTGTACTACTGCATTTTGTTTTTCTTTCATGGACAGATAAAAGAAAAAGACCACAGTGTTATACAGTATGTCGGTCTGACTCACTTAGATTCTGGTTGTGAAATTCCCTTTTCCATGGGGCTGATATTTATGGAGCACTGATGTCCTAGGCACCCTGTGGTGTCCCAGGCACCATACTAAGCCCTTTCTGTGGATGATCTCCCTTAAGACTTACAGTAATCATAGTTTTCACTTACCTATTTTACAGAGGTGTAAACTGTTGCTTAGGAGGGCCAATGGAGCACTGATGTCCTAGGCACCCTGTGGTGTCCCAGGCACCATACTAAGCCCTTTCTGTGGATGATCTCCCTTAAGACTTAGAGTAATCATAGTTTTCACTTACCTATTTTACAGAGGTGTAAACTGTTGCTTAGGAGGGCCAAACTACTAGGCCTAGTTCATTCAACCAACAAGAATGAACTAGCTGAGCTTCGAAACCAGGCTGTCTGTGCAAAGCCCTGAGCTTTCAAACCACTGTGCATGCTGCCTCCCAACTCTGTGTACATTTCTCTAGTCAGGAGGTTTTTCTCCACTTGCCCATATTCTTTTCCATAATTCTTGCTCTTGGTACAGATGATTTCCAAGGTCCCTTCCAGGTAGAGCTGAGCTTCGAAACCAGGCTGTCTGTGCAAAGCCCTGAGCTTTCAAACCACTGTGCATGCTGCCTCCCAACTCTGTGTGCATTTCTCTAGTCGGGAGGTTTTTCTCCACCTGCCCATATTCTTTTCCATAATTCTTGCTCTTGGTACAGATGATTTCCAAGGTCCCTTCCAGTATTGAAATTCCATGACTAATTAAAGTTGTAATTTAGGCAGTTTGATTAATTTGCTCTAATGCCTGAGTTCATTCCTGATATTAATCCCTTTACTTAAGGTTCCAACAGCTTTTTAGTTTACTTACAGATCTCCTCCCAATGTTAAAGAAATCATACTCCTTCTCCAAGAATAACATTTAAGACCCCAGTCTGAAAAACGTAAGTCTTAAAAACATATCCGAAAGGATTTTACCACGCATGCAACATACTAATTTTCCATATGGAGCAAAATAGTCATTTTAAGCCCCTGTTCTCTTGGTTGTCTTTCCCTAGTCTCACAGATGCAGTGCTAATTGCTTGCAGCTTCAGGTCCTTTACAACATGAGGTAACAATCTGAGCATCTTGGGCTTGAGCTCTGCGTTCGTCAGACATGCCAGGCCTGGAATTGGCATTGGCTCGTTACTGTGCTGAATCCACACACAGGTCAACTCATCTCAACTTTAGGAAGCTTCCTGGAGAGCCTCCTGTTGTATGAGGACCAGTGGTGCGACTGGTTCCATAGCCAGGACGCCTCAGGTGACGGCCCTTTTGGACCAGTGCAGACATTTGAGTCTTTCTAGTCAAGCTGTGCTGCTTGCAGAATGGTTCCGGAAGTGACGCTTACTCGCAGACCTACCAGCTGGGCTGGTTTCAAGTGTCTGAGTGGCTCTTTGCAGCTTCAAGCAGACTCCACTTTGAACACATCTAAAATTCATTCTGACTTCATCAAGAAAACAAGGAGATGAGAAAGAAAGGAAATTGGTAGGACTCTGCAATCACATGTGTAATTAGGGAAACAGGGGGTATAAGTTTGGAGAATATCTTGACCTTACTTTGCTTTGCACCTTGTCTGTAATTCTAATCTTTGGAGTCAGGCAAGCCTGGGTTCCAACCAAGCTTCTGCTCTTAATGGCTATATGATAATGAGGACATTGCTTGATCTTCCTGAGCCTCAGTTTCCTCATCTGCAAATTGGGATGATAAACTGCCCCCATGGGCCACAGACCTTACATGTGTTGATGCTGCTGAAGCTCCCTAGGTACCCTGTACTCAGCCGTGTGGCCAGCACGCAGTCAACAGGTATGCAATGCTATTTTTATTCCCTTCTTCCCCTCTCCTCACAGGACACACTCCTCTAGAAAAATAATGTTCATGCAAACTCGCATTTTAAGAGCACTTATACAGATCTGCACCAGGTAATGCATGTGTGCTTGACGGGATTTTGCTAAATCTGATTTTAAAATCATATTTTAAATATACCTAGGGAAGTGCAGAAAGGTACCCCAGAGCAGCTTGTGCTATAAAGATAATAATACTTTCTGAATGATTTCCACTTAGGCTCTCTATATATTGTGTTTTCACAAAACGAGAGACCCCCTCACCCCACCCCCATGGCTCCCTAGAGGAACAGTAGTAATGAGCAAACAGTACTTGCCCACTGGAGACTCACACAGTCACCACCCCTTTTGGTGTTTCTCCTGAAGTCTAGCTCGTTTAGTGGCAGCTGCCAAGGGCTTGACACTCTTTGCAGGCCTGTTTCTTTCCTTGTGATGAGAAGAAGTAGGCCCAGGTCTGCAGCTGGCCTAGACTTAAACAAGAATGTAGAAGAGTCAAAATGGGTCTGTGGCAGAGGACTAGCAGAGGGGAAAGGACTGTCTTCCAGAACAAAGGACTAGCAGAGGGGAAATGGCTGCCCAAGGGCCACCTTGAAGAGAGGGTGGTCCTCACCTTGATCCGATGATCAAATTCCCCAAGTAAATCCATGTAAAGCATTAGAACTGTGCCCAGCACTTCGTGAGTGAGGATTGTTAAGTATCGTTATTATTACCGGTGCTATTATTATTACAGGCTTGTTCCAAGACTGGGATTTGGCTTAGGCTGTCTTTCCTAAATGGTCTTCCATTTTACAGAACCAAGGGGAGAACTTTGGAACCAGTAGTTGTACAGCCAATGAAGAAGCAATTTGGCAACCTCAGGATTGATCCCACAAACCCTCTATGTGCTTCTTCTTTTCCCTAAACTACCATGACTAGCTGGCTCCCGCTGGGTCTCTAGCTTATCTGGACTGTTGCTGTCTGCACACTGCTGAAGGGATGAGCACCTTGTGTATTCATCGGTGGGCTGACTGAAATGGAATGCAGCCAGACTGCTAAGTCCACACCGTTCGGCATTTAGTCCTCAGAAATCTGATTCCAAGAATGTATACCTTGCATTGCAGTCTAGATTTCAGAGGAAAGTTTTGGACAGAATAACCCAAACCAAGGTCTGGATAATTTAAAGCCTGGGTGAAATGGGGCAGAAAGAGCCCAGAATATACAGGTCTGAATGTTGGCTGGGGAGAGGTGGAAGACTCGAGGCGCCAGACGGCTGGCCTCCCTCCAAGTGTTTACCACCCTGGTGCCATGAGGCTGGGCCCGGCAGTCCATGTGCTCATTCTGTCCCTCCTTCCCTCCTTCCCCTATACTTCTCTCCCTCCTCCCCCTGTTTTCTACAGGATGAAGGAACTCAGACACCTACTGACCCAGAGGCAAGGCAATGAGACCTATGAGACAGGAATCAGACCCAGACCTGGCCGAGGACCCTGTGGGTTTACAATGGATGATCCTTCTGCCTCTGAGATGTAAGGGCTGGCTCTGGACTTTGAACCCCAGCCTCACCCACTTCTGCCTGGGTGTGGCCCTTATTGCCTGGAAGCCTTGCTCCTCCAGGAGAGGACAGTGTGAAGCTTGGGGTTGTATCTCCAGGAAATAGGCTGTGGGTAGCCACTGATTCCAGGCTAGTGAGAAGAGGGCTGCTGTTTCCTCCCTGCCCCACTCCCCACCCACCCCTTTGGCCTATGGTGTCCAGGCTGCCTGCACAGCTTGGACACCACAGACCTTGCCTGGGCCTCCTGAGAGACCTTTGAGGCTTGCAGCTGGTGGTCCCTTTAGTCTGCATGTCTCTGAGTCCACCGCCTGGAGGAAAAGCATGTGCTGCTGCTTTCATGAATCTGCTGCTCAGGCAATTATTGTTGCTCAGTCTGGGATTACGTTCTCTTCTTCTTAAAGCATATCACATGGCGTCCTGAGCCCTGAACCCAGTCTGGCCTCTGGAGCAGAAGATTTTGTGCTTTTATAAACCTATAATACTGCAGGTGCTGCATGAGGAAAGTATCTCCTCAATTCCTTCCCCTTCCCCAACACCTACGTGTCAAACTAAAGGAATTAGCTTAATAAGGTGAAAGGAGGGTATCTTATCACTGCCATTGCTTCACTTCTTGCTGCCAGCAGCCAAGTATGCCTGAGGACAGAGGGCACTAGAGGCCAGGAGGGTGGTGAGCAGCAGACACAGGCACTGCTTGCGTGTGGCGGGAGCTGGCACTGCTTGCAGACTCCCGCAGCGCTCTGACTTCCCTCCCGTGTGCCTGGGACCCACCCGGGCAGGCTGCTGCAAGGCACCCAGATGCTGGTCTTCGCCACAGCCTGACTGACGGTGCACAGCTGCTCTGGGACTGCGCTCAGGAGCTCCTTCCAGGGGTCCTCTTGGATCTGTTCCAGGAGCACGGAAAAGGAGGGCCTTTCATCCAGGGATCTCACACTCACAAAAGGATTCAAATTTGGGTTTTTAAAAGTTTATCTCTAAAGATGTTCTAATAGGACTGAAAGAAGGAAATGATCATTAGCTTTAAACTTATGCCTGACTTTAGTACCATAACCCACGGATTTTTAAAAATGAATCTTCCTATTAGCTTGTGAATAGGACGATTACATTGCCTTTTGTGTGTTTTTAAAATTTTGCATGTTAAAAGGCTTAATTTATATAAGCTTCTAAATATATCACAATTTTTGAAATACTGTTTGGACATTTCTTCGTTATAATATACCTGGAGCCTCAGAGAATGGAAGTGTCCCAGGCTCATCTTGACCTCGGAGCGGCCCTGGTGGCCTCTTCACTCTTGGTGGACTGTGGGAAGAAGCTGTTCCCTTTCCACACTGTCATCTCAACTTCAGAAGATCTACGGTGCAACTCCTTGTGTCGTCAGCGCCTGGCCTATAAATGAAAGAGGCTTTCTAGGCTTAGGCACACACAGTCCGGCCCCTTTCTCTCTGCATTGTGGGCACTGATTTCTCCTCCCCACAGGGAGGCTTCTCTCCGCCCGCCCAGAGCTACAGGCTGCCCAGTGCTGGGGGAAGTGGCAGCCTGGTATTCCTGAGTTCTTTACTCTGTGACCATGTGGCTCAACTGTGGCTGCATACTGGAATCCACTAGGGAGTTTTCAAAAAAACTGATGCCTGGTTCTACCCCCAGAGATTCTTATTTACTTGAGATGGGGTGTGGCCTGGGCATTGCGATTTTTAAAAGCTACCCGGGTGATTTTAATATGCAGCAAAGTTTCAGAAACAGTGCCCTAAGAGAGTAGTCCTGAAACACTAAGTTCATCACAATAATGTGGGGGGCAGGGCTTGTTAAAACATAGCTCACTGGGCCGGCCCGTGGCTCACTCGGGAGAGTGCGGTGCTGATAACACCAAGGCCCCGGGTTCGGATCCCATATAGGGCGTGCCGGTTCGGTCGCTGGTTGAGTGTGCTGCTGACAACCCCAAGTCAAGGGTTGAGATCCCCTTACCGGTCATCTTTTAAAAAAAAAAAAAAAACATAGCTCACTGGGCCTCAGTCCCACGGTTTCTCATTCAGAGTTTCTGGATGGTAGCCAATAATCTGCATTTCTACCGGGTTCCCAGGTGATGTCATGCTGCTGTTCTGGGGACCACATTTTGAGAATGCTGTCCTAAAAGAAAGCAAGCTAGGGACATGGGCTGGGGAGGGAAATGTGAGTCAATGCATGAAGATGTAACTGCTTCTTAATCTCAGATTCTGAAGTTGTCTTCAGAGGCAGAGACACCCTTAAGTTACAGCAGTTACAGAGTACTGGTCACCATAGCTGCCACTGTGCACAAAACCCAAGCTGCGGTAGAGCTGAGTCCAGGCAGCGTACCCTGATTAGTGGGGTAAGGCGTGGGTCTAAAACAGAGAGTCTGGGGGTACAGATCAGCTCTGTCCAATAAGAGTAAAATACAAGACACAAATGTGAACCACCTGTGTAATTTTATATTTTCTAGTCACATTAAAAAAACAGGTGAGATTAATTTGAATGTGTATTGAATTAATTATCCAAAATCTTATCATTTTAACATATTGTCAACATAAACAATTATTAGATATTTTACATTCTCTCTTTCATGCTAAGTCTTTAGAATCGTGTATGTATTACACTTATGGCACCTCTCAGTTTGGACCAGCCACATTTTGATGTCCATGTGTGAACAGCACAGTCCCCCAAATACCAAGTACTGGGGCCATCTGCCTCTAAAGAGGGGCTGGTGCACAGAGGTCCCGCCTTTCTCAGCAGCCTCCTGCCCCTCCCGGATCCCCTGGAATCTGTCCTGAGCATCTGAGAATCTCTTCTGCCTTCTTCACCATCGGTGCTCTGAAGAGCACGAAGGGTTGAGTGGGCACGATCAGGTCCGCAGGGCTTAGTTACCTCATGTCTCTGCATTCGAGGTCAGAGTCTGAGAAGTTTCCATGGTCACTCCTCCCTTTCTTTTTTTTTTTTTTGGCAGCTGGCCAGTATAGGGATCGGAACCCTTGACCTTGGTGTTACAAGGCTGTGCTGTAACCAACCAAGCTAACCGGCCAGTCCTTCCCTCTTTCCTAATTTAACCATCTATAGAGATGAGCAGAGCTCCTGAGAGAGGATCCCCAGGGCTACGCGTGAGATTCCCCCTGCCCCACTGAGAGGGTGTGTCTCAGAAGTGGTACAGGAAGATGTGCCCCACTGTTTTCATCCCAATGTTATTGAATCAGTCACTCTGTTGATGCCAGACACTTGTTTGCCCAAGTGCGTTATTTTATTTCTCCTTATACGTGCATTCTTTCCAGCAGCCTGCCTGGCTTAATTAAAAGATATTTATGTTTTCTGATCACTTCTACTGCCTTCTCTTCCTTTCAGGAATGGAAAATCAATCTGAGTGTCATTAAGAGGAGATTCCCTGAAGAAGACTGCTGGTGACAATGGATTTGTCACCCAACTTTCTTTTACTGGGCAATTGGAATTTCTTCCACAGGGGATGAGACCTACTGCTATTTCACTATCTGAACTCAGGCCTTTTACTGACTTGCCAAGTTTTTATTCTGTTGTCTCACTGTCATTGGCTGATCTGATCTCTACACTGACTAATTAGTTTCAAACCCCTTCATATTGACCTAATAAACTTGGCTTGTTTAATTTGTGTTGGGAAATTTCTGAGAATGTTTCGTTTAGACTCTGATAAGAAGCATTCTTTGGAACGTCCTATCAGAGACATCCTTTAGGAGAGAGAGGTTGTCTCTCCCACAGCCTCTTGAATTACATGGAGCAGACACCAAAACAGCACGGATTCTTCCTGCTGCCAGGTCAGAATGCTTTTCACAACAAGCAGATCTGCCTGATAATGGGGCAGTATTTTATGTCATCTCACCAGAAGCACATGGGACTGCTGTCTTTTCCCCCCAGAGGTTGTCTGAGCTGGTTCTAAACAAACCATAGCCTTTCAGGGTCGGGCCTGCTGGCCATCCATCCTGCCATCCAGGGCCTGGGCAGAGCCCCCGTACCAGCCCTTCTCATGCCTGCGATTTAGAAACTCCTTCCTTTCTTTTATCGGCCCTGATCCCCTCAGGAGAAGTTGGAGTAAAAGCCTCTAAGTTGGCCAAAGAGAAATGGCTGGGGAGAACAATGTAAGTGGCCTTAAAGGGAAGAAGGGGACTCAGCCAAGAGCCGAACTCCATCCTGGATGCAGGACTGATTCATGGCACTCAGTAACATGCCCTTGGGGGCATGGCTACTCACTGGCTGGAATTAAAATCGAATACTACTTTCCCAATCAGCAACCACGATGCAGGGGGCTTGTTTATTTAACATGAACAGACCACTATTTTCAACTAATCTCTGCTTGCATATCTCCCCTAAGATAATGCGTAGGAATGAGTAAACATGCTCTTAGAATCTTCTTAAAATTCTCTCCAAGCCCCCTGTGACTGCCTGCCCCCTAGCTGGGGCTGTCCAGGAAGTGGCCGAGGAGCCCCCCATGTGGAAGGCTTCTCACATGTGTCCATCACCCAAGGCAAAGGCTGCAGCCAGAAATGAGCTCCCCCGACAATGCAGCCTCTTGCATGCAAGGCAGGGCCCTGGGAGCTGCTGTGTAAGCTGCAGCACTGAACTGATTCATTTGTCTTCATTAATGTTGCATATAGCTGATGTCTTTGTCACATACATGATTATGTGAGATTCAGTTCTCCCGAATGTGTAAACACAGAGCTCTAGTGCCAGGCTCCAGCAGGCAGCAGCTTGAAAAGAAGTGTTTCTGCTACTGGGGGCAATGGCTTATGCTATACAACCCTAGGGACGGGGCCACACCTGGGTCTTAAATGTGGGGAATTGGTTCTGGAGTGATAAGGGTGAGGAATGCTGCTGTCTTGGTCTCTTTGGCCCCGGGGGCTTGCTTCTGCCTGCCAGTCACCTCATAGCATATGTCCTCCTTCATGCCTCCCTCCCCGTGGCTCGGCATTCCCCAAGCTCCCTGAGCGTTACCACCTTGATGGCTCTGCACTTGATCCCTTCTTCTCTCCTCCAGGGTCCTGTCTTCATCTAAGGCCACTGTCATCTCATGGCTGTATTCCTGCTTATAGCCTCCTCCCTACCTCCAGTCTTGCTCCCCTCTAATCCATTCCACACCCTGCTGACATCTTTCTAAAAGGTGTATCAGTTTGGGTCACTCTTCTTCTCTGGATAAAGGGCAAACTGTTTAGGATGCTGCACGAGGCCTTTGAGGACTGGCCCCTGTAACCCTTCCAGGCATCAGCCCCACCAGTACACTCATTCACTCCCCCTGTCCCCACCTTTCTCCTTCATTTGGGGTTACACTTTTTCACAGGATTCCAAAATAATTCTACCTTGTGTCTAATATCTTAGGGCTTTTAAATAAAGTAATTTTAAAGATTTTTTAACTCACCTACTTCACTATTTCTCAGATTAAGACAAGTCGGCTTGGGAAGCTGAACCAAGTAAAATGTCTAAGTCACTGCTTTACTAGGCATCATTCTTCACTTTCCTTTTTGGCCTGTCATGATCAGGCCGCTTTAGGTACAAAACAAAAACAAAAACAAAAAACAGTCAATACCAGAGGAAAGAAGGGGGAATTTATTAAAGGATTTGCATGTGTGGGAACCCAGAGAAATCTGGCTTCAGGAAAGGCAGAAACAAGACAACTCTAGGCTCAGCCAATGCTTTGTCTCTCTCTCTCTCTCAGTCTCTCTGCACCTCTGCCTCCCTCCTTCCTTGCTTTCTCTTGTCCAGCTTTCTCTGCTTACTCATCTTGTACACAACCCAACACGGCAGCCACATGCCAGGGTCTTCATGGACTTCCAACTAGCACCCATACCCACTACGACTTCCTATGTCTGAGAGAATGTGATGGTCAGTCTCTCTGCACCTCTGCCTCCCTCCTTCCTTGCTTTCTCTTGTCCAGCTTTCTCTGCTTACTCATATTGTACACAACCCAACACGGCAGCCACATGCCAGGGTCTTCGTGGACTTCCAACTAGCACCCATACCCACTACGACTTCCTATGTCTGAGAGAATGTGATGGTCCCAAGTCGTCTCTCTGAGCCAGGCTGCACTTGTCCTGGGTCCTGGCAAACCTGTGGATTGGTTGTCCTCGGCTCAGAGCACTTTCCAACTCCCCTCATCTGTGAAATGAAGATAGTAATAATATCGACTTGAAGGGTTGTTGCATGGGGGAAATGCATTAGTAACTAGAAACCACTGGCACCCCCAAACCCCGGCAGAGCTGGGGCTGGTCCTCACAGCTCAGGGGCAGGAGGACAAATTGTGAACCCAGAGAGGAGGTGCCTCTCCCTTCCCACCCCCTCTTCTGGTCTTATATCCTAGTCTTACTTTGTTAGAGGCTCATATAATACCATTTCTTTAAATTGTGTTTTCATATGTTACTTGTCAAAGCTATTTTATTCTTACCAACATTAGGAAAGTATAAACAAAATGCATTTTAGGATAAAATAAGACATAGCCCTTTAGTTAGGCCTGTAATATCTACGGGCAGGCAGTGCAGTCTTTTACCAGAAAGAGAGAGGGGGAAACGTACACCCACACGCGAGTGCATGCACACAGGGGATCTGGAAGATGGTACGAAATGTTTCTTTACTTTCCCCATAGAGTCTCCTTTCAGTCCATATGTCAGGCCCTTCTCTTTTCCCTCCTACATCTCCTGCTCTGCCACCTTTTGGAGATTTTCTCTCTCTCCCCGCTTCCTACAGCTTCTTAGCTCCATTCTAGGATGTCTTAGCCTGGGTTCTCCAGGTGCTGCCTCTGAGATAAGGAATCATGTGAAAGTGATTTATTAGGAAGCATTTCCTGGGAAAATTAGTGGGGGAGTGAGATCAGGAAGGGAAGTGTGGGGAGCTATCCAGCGAAGTCCCACAGAAGCACTCTTGGAGACAGAGGAGGTCCCGCCTCACAGTCGTCCTCATCGAGAAGAGGGTGGACAAGGAGCTGGAGTAGTTTACATTCCTGCAGCCAACAGTCATTGGTTGTCAAGGGCGACCCTTTTTTTCCGCCCCAGGGTACAAGTTCACAACCACTTCAGCTCTGTGTGCGGGCCTGAGGGTGGTCCTTTAGCAGGAGAGCAGGTGCTGGCTGTTGGGAACGAAGGCACAGCTGGAGTTGGTGTATGGAGAGAAAGGGGCCTGCTCCATCCTGTAAGGGTGGCATAAAGTTTCCACTGTGTGGGGCTGAGGGAGGCTTTAGATCTTTAGAGCGGAGAATCTACAAAGCAAACATGGCTTTCTGCTACTCATGCCTGAGCCCTATTTCTCCTGGCAAACCTTTAATGTGTCTTATGCTAAACAGGGTCTGTTTTTTAATTCTTTTTAGCAAACTCAAGGGAAAGAAATGACAAGAATGAAGGTAGAAGAAAACCCCACCAGGCCACAGACATAAACATGTTTTAGTTCCACCTTCTGGACTTTTAAATGAAATTAACGATTGACCAGACTCGTTTTTCAAGCCAACTAAAAACATGTCCCAGGCCCATGCCTGCAGCCTCTGCTCTCCTGGGAATTTCTGGACTTTTAAATGAAATTAACGATTGACCAGACTCATTTTTCAAGCCAACTAAAAACATGTCCCAGGCCCATGCCTGCAGCCTCTGCTCTCCTGGGAAGGGTTCCTGGTTCTGTGCCCAATGCCCCCCACCGCCCCTGAGGCCTAAGACTCTCACCCCACAGCTTTCTTTTTGTCTTCCTCACTCTTCCCTCTTCTGTCCACAATTGGCCTTGATTTCTTTATTTCCTTCTTTTTTCTTCTTTTCAAAGCCATGGGTTGAATAGTAGGGGAGAGATAGAGAGGTGAGTTGAATGCCCATTCTGGATCATTCTGGGGACCAGGATTTAATTTGAGGTGAGAAGAGACTTGGTGAGCTAACTAACTCTCAAGGGCAGGAATGAAAAATCGTGGATGTGAATGAAAGGGAATGGGGAGGTGCAGAAAGAGCCTGCTGTCCAGACTCTGCATGTCAGAGGTGATTTTGGAAGAGAAAACGTGTTCTCCCTGAAGAGGAAGGTGGTTTCTGGCCTACAGAAGGCAGGGTTGTGGAGGGGGAAGTGCTCGGCCAGGAGGAGGCTGCTGGCAGCCAGCACTAGTGCCAGGGAACTGGGCCACTCACCTTCAGTGCCTCTTGGCAGAAAGGCAGGTACTTCCTAATGGAGACTGATGAAGCTGGAACTCAAGAGATAATGAACCGAAACAGGATTCCTCTCTGAGTTGAAAGTCGTGGCTGGTGATAATGAATGCAGTTGTCTCTATTGAGCCTAGAAGCTGCACTATGCATGGGACTTTGTGAAATGAGGACTTCCTTGAAGAACAACAGATTGTAAGGAGAGGAATCGATGTTTAAATTGTTGTTAAACTGAGCTAAGAAAAATCAAGCCTAATAGCTTTCCAACTCAACAGATTAATCCTGCAAGCTAGGTGCTTGGGAATCTCTAAGAGGTTTGAAGCTTTCTCAGATCTTCTGGCAACCTCTGAAAGAAAACAGGTGCAAGATTTCTTCTGCCATGAAGGAGCTTAAGCAGCTGGAGGGCAACCTGCGGCTATTTTCCAAGGTTGTTTTTCTGAATGGAAGGACATCCTCAGGTAGGAAGCTAGTGATGTTATGGGGCAAACAAAAGGAGAC